TGGTACACCGACAACTTGTTACAAATGTCGTGATAGTTACATCAAAAATAAAAATGAATGTGTGTTGGATGACAAGTGTAAGTACAGTGATGGTATAGTTTGCATCAAATGCAACACGGGAAATGTATACAACAAGTGTGAGAACTGCGCAGCACATTGTTATTTATGTGAGAACAAAAAGTGTTTGATATGTAATGACATTTTTTTATTAAATAATGAAAATGTCTGTGTTGAAGTAGAAAATGGAATTTCAAATGGCATATCAATTGTTTGGTGTAATAACACTTTTTATATAACAAATGGCGTTTGTAACAACTGTACATCAAAATATGAACACTCTGTTTTGTGTAACAAAAACAATACAATTTCATGTGAAGTAGATCTTAACATTTAACATAAAGGAAAATGCATTTCATCAATTTGTCAAAATAAAACATTAATTGAAGAAAATTGGATGTGTAATTTACCAGAAGCTAATTGTGTATTTATTGTAAACAATAAATGTGTTGAATGTGAAAATGACTACATTGTTGATGTTAAAAAACATGTGTGAGTGTTACAAATGACACTTTGTCAATTGATTGTGTTTTATATAATAAATATGGATGCATATCATGTGACATTGGATATAATTTGTCAAATACAAAATGTCGTCAATGTTCCGAGAATTGGGCAAATTGTACCGGCTTTAAAACAAAGTGTCTGTCATGTAAGTATGGGTATTATCAAAATGAAGATTACACATGTTTATCTAGCACAGACTTGTTGAATAAATGCAACAAAAATTCAACAATAACAAGTGGGTGTTATCAATGCAAAGACGGGTATTACAGAGTTGGAATGGATTGTTGTGATTGTCTTTTGAATTGCTCGACATGTAACACAAAAGACACGTGTTTGACATGCAACGTAACAAATTACAAGACACAAAGTGGAAAGTGTTTGCCACAAAACAGTATCATTGGCTGTGCTGTTGAAGTCACACAAAATGGGTGTTCTAAATGTCAAGATGGGTATTACACAGTTAATTACATTGAGTATGAGAAATGTCATGGCAACTGCACAACATGCACACAACCCTAAAATGTTCATCCTGTGTTAAAAACATAATTTTATTTAAAAGTGGACTTTGTCTTGACATTTCATTTATATCAAAATGTCTTGCTGTCTCAAACTCTAGATGCTCCAAATGCACATTTTGGAACTCTCCAAATGATAATGGGACTTTGTGTGACAAGAAAATAGTTTGGTGGGTACTTCTCATTGTTATTTTGTTTGCCATTTTCATGATAATAATATTTATATTGTTATTTGTATTAACAGTGAAATACATTAACAACAAAATTCATCACAAAGAAATTGCAAAGACAACAACATTCTTTAAAATGAGTCGCTCAAACAACACATTTATTCAACTTGGTGATGACGTTGTTGTTAATAAAACTGAACTTAACTTTGGTGATCAAATTGATGTCAACATACAACAGCGAGAACTTCTATGTGTTGGGAACATATCAAAGGACAACATGAAAATTCAAATCACAACAAAAAGTGCGACAATTAAAAAATACTAATTTGACTCAAATCCAAAAAAATTGTGTTGCCAAGTGGCGAAGCGTGTGAATTTGAGATATTACTGACTTTGAAATGCACAACTAAAACGGATGAGAGTGTTGTGTTAGTCGCAAACTCGTTCACAAAAAGAGATGATGTCATTAAGAAATTAACAATAACAACAACTTCAAAACTGATAACACGACTTGATCCAGACGAGTTGGTAGAGGATAACATACTTGGTGAAGGATCTTTTGGAATTATTTAACAAGGGACTTTCAGAGGAAATAGTGTTGCAATTAAAAAGATGAAATTATGTGGTAATGAAGACACAATTGACGAACTTGAAAAGGAAGTGAATATGTTGGACAAATTTCGGAGTAAGTACATGGCCCACCTCTATGGCGCTATGTTTATTACAAATAAAGTGTGTGTGGTCACTGAATTAGCACAATATGGATCTTTACAAGACTTGATAAAACACAAAATGAATGATGAAGTTGACATGAAAATGCGAGTAAAAATATTGTTAAAAGCATCAAATGTAATTTCATATTTGTACTCAAATAATATTTTACACAGAGACATCAAGCCAGACAATATTCTTGTGTTCCGACTGAATTTAAACAACAAAGCAAATGCTAAGTTGACTGATTTTGGAACAAGTCGAAATGTCAACATGTTGATGACGAATATGACATTCACTAAGGGAGTTGGAACACCTAAATATATGGCACCTGAAATTATGAACAAAAAGCATTACAAAAAACCAGCAGATGTCTATTCTTTTGCTATTACAATGCTTGAATGCTTTTTGTGGAGTGAGGCGTTCCCAAAAAGTACTTACATATTTCCATGGACTTTTGCAGATGATGTAGCTTCTGGGAAAAGACTAATGACCATTAAAACACTTGATAAAAAGTATAGAAATGTCATTGAAAAGTGTTGGAAACAAAAGATTCAAAAGAGTGGTACTATCAATGAAATCATTGACGAGCTTAAAACAATAATTTAATATATTGTTTAATACATTAATACATAGTTATTATTGATTAATTTCATAACATACAGTTTACTATGAAATATAAATATTTGAATATCATTAAGACACACAATTTGAATCCAATTCAAAATGTGAGTAAATAATAACTATTCACTTAATAATGTATATTTATTTTATACTTTTAATTAAGATTTTTATTTTAACAAACCTTGATATTTTTACATGACAATTTTTATTGTTTTCACAATTATATTATTGGAAAAATCAACATTTATCAACTTTTGTAAATTAAAAAAAATAATTGTTTAATAATTCAAATGTTGTTTTGATGTTTACAAAAATATTGTCAACTTGTATGTACAAATTTTATTGTTTAAAATGTAATAATTATTATATGACCTAAATATAATATTTACATTATTTACATTAAATATAAACATATAACAACAGTTGTTAACAATTATCATTACTTTAAATTAATGTATTTAATTTAGATATGATTTGATTGAAATGTAATTTAACAAAATTTTTGTTTGTTAACACAATAATATTAAATGAAATTATCGAAAACAATAATTATTGGTAAATTAAATATTTGTTAAATGTTATATGACAACATGTTTAAATAACAATGCAAACAATTTGAAATGATTATTAAATAAAAGGTTTACTTTAATTTTATTTTTCTTTTTATTGTTATTAAAATTATTTATTGATTCATATAAATAATTAAAATGGTAATTCCAAAAACAAAATTGGATTATTTATTAAAATTAATAAATGCAAACCTTAAATTGAATCTGATTTATCTCTTTATTAAAAGTGTTTAAATCACTTCATAAACATGTTTATAAAAATATAAACATCAACTGTATATAAAATGCAAGAGGTGGGGTTCGAACCCACGCCTTCGAAAAGAGTCGTACCTGAAACGAGCGCCTTGGACCACTCGGCCACTCTTGCTTTGTTATAATTTTTAATATAATATAATATACTTTTGTGATTCAAATGATAATCATAATCCAAACATTAAAATCATAAAATTATATATTATAATTAGACAGATAAATTAAAATATTTTAATGTTAATTCTACAATTAAACTTAATAACATAAAAAATTATCAATTTTATTTTATCTATAGTAAATAGATAACGAAATATTATTATTTATTGCTATTAATTTCTAATGATTAATTGTGTCAGAAAAGAACAAATTGAGTTGTACAATAAAATAATAAGCGATTTATTTTATTAACTTTTTATGTTTGATATTGACTATATCACATCAACTTCAACCTGGTATGGACAAAAAAGTGTACTACATCTGAACGAACAAAGAGTAATTAAAACACAATTCAAAATGTGACAAATATTTAAAGTGTAAAAAGTTGATTTAAAATGAAACCCATTTGATTCATTAATTTTTGATTTTTGGCTGGACAGTTTCATAATTAATAATGGTATGTACATTTGTGTTTAACTTTATGAACAAGCAACATCAAGTGATAACGATAAGTTTAAGTTTATTTTTAATTATTGTCAATAAACAACACCTAAGTACTAATATTACTGCAACAACACTTCCAGGTGAATTGCAAAATTACACACAGAATATTACTTTTTATTTTTAAATTTTGTGGTGGTGATGGTCATTATTATGTAAGTTATGATGTTGTTTTTCTATGTCTTTAATACGATTTGTAAAAACAACTTAATCGTTTAAATACACTATTAATTAAAAAATCTAACCTTTACAATCAACAGTCGTTTCCAAAATGTAACATATAGCAATACCTCACAAAAATTGTACCTCTAAAGAGCGGGTTCTTTTAAGAGTGTGCATTAATTCGACTAAAACTTTAAATAGAGTGTTTTATATTGCTGTAATCAAGGTTTGATTGGCTAAAAATGCCTGCTCTTGAGAAAAATAAAATTACCACACTTCCCATTTTTGAAACGTTTGACTGTACTAGTGATATCATGCAACAAAAAAATAAATGTTAAAAATAATAAATAATGCAATTTTTATCATTCAAGTATAATTTATACTTTATAAACAATTGGCTGATTAATTAGTAAAACTTACATTGTTTTGTTTCTTGTCTTTTTTATAGTTCGATTTATTTAAAGTGATAATATTGTTTATAATAAATTTATATTATATTTTTCATAAAGTTCTGAAAAATTAAACTGAAGAAAATACTACTGTATCAAAAACTGAAAAACAACAAATGGAAAACCAATTAAAAGATTTATCAACATTATATACTGATACAGAAAAGGCGATTTCAGACCTTCTTGCATCAAAGATAGAAAACAACTATGTTGACAACGAGTCACTTGACATTGCACAACGCATTGAAAATGCAGAGGGGTACTTTGACAGACTTGATGAGACCATTAAAAGAAAAATAAACATTACAACTTCACTCAACACAATTATATTAAGTTTGGATAATACATTAAACAAAATCAAAAAAGATTTGGCTTTGTATTCAATAGAAAACGACATTAAAAAGTTGGACGAGATATGTGATATTAGAATAACACTTTTTGATGAAAAATGCAAAATAGACACAAAACCTTATCAAGACAAAATAGATACAATGTCCAAGAAAAGAACGTTAAAATCGATCAAATCAAAAACTCAAAAAAATTGATCACTTCAAAAATCCAACACGATGAGAAATTTGAAAAAGAAAACAATAAAAGTTTGTTTATAAATAGATATTTATAATATCAATTTAATATTATGATAATAAAATAAAACACGTTTAAAAGAATAAAAAAAAGAAGAATGAACCAACGAATGAAAAAATAAATAAGAAAAATAAGACCAGTTTCACAAGATAAGAAGTATAAGAGTTTATTTAATAATGTAACACTGAAATTTAAAGTAATATTAAAATGATGTAAAAATATATTAATTCACACTATTTTAATTTTAATAGTACAGCGTTATTGTTTAAAAATAAATCATTTAAAGAACAATTAATAAATTAGAAGAAATAAATATATACTATCAAAAAGAGGTACAACTACATGAGAAAGAAAGAAATGACCGCTTTGTGAAATTTGTGATGGACACAAACATGTATTATGGAGATCCAGAGAAGATTAATAATTATCAAGAATGCGTCAAAGCAATAAACAAACTTCCAGAAATTAAATTGAGCCAGAGCGACTTCGATGAAATAGCAGTACTTGGAAATAGTGTAGTGCAGAACTTTGGAGAACTTGAAGGTGTTGTTAAAAAAGTAGTTGACAAGTGTGCAGGTAGAGATTCTAACGAAACACTTGAGATCTTGATTTACTTCTTACGGTGTTTAATTTCGTCATCCCATTTACTTAAAACTGACCCTAAAACAGCGTTCTACAGTGGATTTATGTTGTCTGAACTTTCATACAAATGCAAGGCGTTTAGAGATATAGTCCAACTGATACTACGAAGTGTCTCTCCATGTTTAAATTCGGTCTATGTGAAAAACGGGGGAAACGATTATAAGATAGTGATGGGGTATTTGAGTGACGAGAACGAGTTAGAGTACGTCGAGCGGATTGAGAAGATATTTAGAATATACTTGTGCTTCATGATGAGCGAAGCGGGGAACGTTGAGTCGATATTTGATGTTATGATGACTTCAATGTACATGGTTTATGATAACAAGATAAAAGTTGGAGTGAACGTAGATGTCTTTGGGGTGATGCTAGACGCGTTTTTTGATATGTGTTACGATCGGTTAAAACATTTAGAACTGATGAACTCTTTAATTGAGACGTTTAAAGACTATTTTGAAGTCATGAAAACCGTTTGGGGGACGGAAGGAAACGACAAACAAAAGATGCTGACTCGACGACTTGCTTCGATTTTAAAGAAGATCGAGCAGAATAAAGTCGTGAACGAAAAGTCGTTAGCTCTTGAAGAAGAATATAAGAAGTACTTGGAAACAAACAATAGACAGCCACGGGTGTGGGAAAAGACAATCGACATTTATGGTAAGTAATCTATTTTGAGTTTTCAAAGTATTGTTAATATATTATACTTTGTTAATATATAACACTATATTAAACTATAAGAGTAATAATTGTGATTCTTATTAATTGTTTATACTGTTAATATTATTTGTGTTTGTTTTATTTGAATGTGTGAAATTTTTTAAATTACTAACGCAATTGGATCAATAGAATCGATTTGTATTTAATCAATCACAGTGCCATTTATTTTAAATTTTTTAAACTTTTGTATTTTAATACTTAAAATAACGACTACGTTTTTTTTGATATATTTATACTGAAATATATAGACTTTTTGTTGTTTATACTTTAAAGGCACATTATGTTTTTTGACATAACATACTTCTAAAAACGGAATGTGTATTTTATAAATAGAAAATATATTGGTTTTATTTTATTTATAATAATTAAATTTTCGAAAAAATAAATTAAAATGTTAGTAAAGTGGTATTAAAAATTGAAATGTTTATTCTTGTGTTTAAGGTATGATGTATTAAATGTATCGATCATGAATATACAAAAAGTCGTTTATTTTATATTTACAATTATATTTAATGTTAGATACAAATATTGATAATTGTGAATTAAATTGTATAAAAACAAAATAATATAACAGTTATACAAGAGTTGACAAATATATATTGATAAATTTTTAAAATAAACAACATTAAAATATGGATATTGTTTTAACACTGCAAATTTATGATTAATTAAAAAATATTTGAAAAAATATAATATTAATTTTTTTACTCAAACTATTTGTCAAAACTGATAAAAAATAATTGGTTTTTGAGATTATTAAAGTTTTAAATAAAAATAACAAAATGGGCAACAACCTTCTTAATTTACAAAATGTGATATTTCATTATAACTTACAACTAAAACACACAAAAATAATCAATAAAACCACAATTTAATATGTTTAAAAATAAAAACAAAATTTATTTTTTTAAAAAAAGGAATAACTTATTATCAGAAAGACTTTATTTGAATAATTTTGCAATACGGTCAAAGTTTGTTTAGAAAGGATATAATTATTATTGGTTAGGATTTGTTTTTTTAAAAAATGGGTATAATTTTTAATAAAATGGATACAATTTTTTGAGAAATGATTTGATTATCCGAAAAGGGGATATTTCCCAATAAAATGGATTAAAATCAATTAAATGGGATCGGATTATTTATAAAAAGGATTTGTTTTCTTATAAAAGGACGCAATTCCTAATAATTGAGACGCTATTTCTTTAAAATGGATATATTTTCGATTAATGGGATTGAATTCTTTATAAAAAGTATCGATTTTTTTTAAATTTGGACAGAATTTCTCAAAAAGGATGTATTTACTGAAAGATTGGGCAAATTTACGTTGAAAAAGGATTGAATTCTTTATAAGTTATTGTGTTTTTACAGTCTTTTAAAACAATTCAAAAATTAACAAAAATAACGTACTAAAAATTTAATAGTTTATACTAAATATTATAATATTATCTAACAAATTTCATAAAAACTCGATGAAAAAATAATTCTTGAAACATTATTCACAAATCAAATATAAAAATAAACATTTTAAACATAATAATCAAAACAATGAGTCGATTAGATTATGTTGATACTTGTGTTCCAGAATCTCCTATAACCTACACACAAAACGCTCCAGAACCTTTACAGGGTACCTCGGTTCAACAGGTTCCAATTACTTATCAGGAATTGCCTCCTTTACCAAAAAGAAAAAGAGGAAGACCGAAAAAGACACAATTATTAAACACTTCTGCGACACTTCCTACATCATCCACATCAAATCTTTCCTACAAGAAGAGAGTGTACACACGAATAACGAACCAAATTAGAGACAAACTTATCGAAATGTGGAAAGAACATGGAGACTTTTGGTTATCGGGAAAGTATTCAGAAGAAGTTGGTATCAAGAAAAAATATGTTGAAAATATGTTAGTAAAACTAAGAGCTGGCAAATCTATTTACCCCAAGAACCATTATTATAGAAAAAGTCGTACACTTCCTTTTCAACATCTTGTTGAAAATGCAATCATAAGAGACAGCACGATAACAATCGATGAAATCCGCGAGACGATTGCACAGGAAGAAAAACTTAGGATGCAAAGAAAACAGGAAGAAATAATACTAAATTTTGAAAACATCGACAATACCATGATTTCAGATGAAGAGCTTGATAATTACTCGCCTTCCAAATCTTCGATTGCCAAATTTATGAGTGGACAAACAGCCAAAAACGAGGAACGAGAAGTCCCGATATTTCCGTTTAAACGAGTAAAAAATAGAGGAGTGTCGGCCAACACAACAGATAACAAAACAAAAAAAAATTGAAGCAGTTAATCAACTTCGTAGTTATATATCCGGCGGAGCAAAATGGGTCTGTGTCGATGAGACGAGTTGGAGAGTTGGTACAACAGCAGCTTATGGATGGGCAGCACGAGGAAAAGAATGTTTTGTAACCAAAGCAAAAGGAGGAGTGAGGCTGACGTCGATATGTGCTTTGGACTGTGATGGCTTTTCGTATTGCAATTTGACTTTTGGCACTAACACAATCGAATCATTCAAAACATATTTCAAATATCTCGTACATGAATATGATTTAAAGGGGCGTCGATGTGTTTTTTTGGTGCGACAACTGCGATATACATAATTGTATTCAAAGAGTGCTCGAAGGAACGGGTCATGTCGTAGTTTTTAATGCAGCATATTCACCTGCACTGAATCCTATAGAAAATGTCTTTGGGCTGTGGAAACGCAGAGTAGAAATAAAAAATCAGAATTTGGAGAAGTGTTTAAGATTTGCTCGACAAAATAACAGAAGGATTCAAATCGATAAACAGTGAAGAAGCACAAGCAACATTTGAAAAGGTTAGAGAGGAAATATGGCCCATAGTTTTCAACCGAGAAGATATTTAATTTTTCATTGAGTTTTTTATGAAATTTGTTAGATAATATTATAATATTTAGTATAAACTATTAAATTTTTAGTACGTTATTTTTGTTAATTTTTGAATTGTTTTAAAAGACTGTAAAAACACAATAACTTATAAAGAATTCAATCCTTTTTCAACGTAAATTTGCCCAATCTTTCAGTAAATACATCCTTTTTGAGAAATTCTGTCCAAATTTAAAAAAAATCGATACTTTTTATAAAGAATTCAATCCCATTAATCGAAAATATATCCATTTTAAAGAAATAGCGTCTCAATTATTAGGAATTGCGTCCTTTTATAAGAAAACAAATCCTTTTTATAAATAATCCGATCCCATTTAATTGATTTTAATCCATTTTATTGGGAAATATCCCCTTTTCGGATAATCAAATCATTTCTCAAAAAATTGTATCCATTTTATTAAAAATTATACCCATTTTTTAAAAAAACAAATCCTAACCAATAATAATTATATCCTTTCTAAACAAACTTTGACTGTAACATAAAATAAAAATGAATTCAACAAATTTCGAAAATATTAAAATGATTTTTAAGTAATTAATAACTAAAAAATATTTAATTTACATGTTTTGAACTAAATTAATATAATAAATTGTTTATTTGATATTAAAAAATGATATAATTAAATTATGTGCATTTATTATCAAAACTATAAAAGTTATTTTTAAATAATTGTGTTATAACAATGAAAATTAATTTATTTCGAATAAAAATGTAATTTCAGATAAATGATTTATATTGAATATTTATTATTGGTAATTGTAATCCAACTTATAAATGTATTCAATTGATTCCCTCGACTTTATTGACTATTTCAAACAACCTTATAATAAG